GCGGGAGGCGGGAGGTGGGAGGTGGGAGGTGGATGGGGGATGAAATGACGTGCGATTGTCAATTTATTTTTTTATGTGTTTTTGCATCGAGTCCCTGGATTGACAGTTAATAAAGGGCACTGGTTTATTAACAGGACATGAATAATAGAAAGCGGTGATGGTATGATGAGGGGATGTAATGTAATGTAGGCATAACAGATGCATGGGTATTTGATAGCATTCAATTTAAAGCAGAGGCGCTCAATTTAACCCTTTTTCCTGTCTTCTCTGCGGTGATAGGCCAGGATCCCCTTCAAAAATATATCTCTGGTCTCTCCACAGTGTCTTGTAATGTAATAGTGCCTGTTATAAGCATGGATTTCGCTGCGGATGTGACTTGTCAGACTCACTACAATGATAAGCTATATTTATTGAAGTGATTGTGTCGTAGAAGAGGGATAGATCATTTTGTTCCCTCAAAAACAGACCTGGAGTGGCTTTTAGATCTATTCATGTTAGTATCGGATAATTCTGGCACAAACATGTAACTCCGCCCATTCTGTCTGAAAGCCCCTGTCTCAGAGTCTTTGTGTCTTTTACAACAAAAGTATCACCTTTTCTCGTTGTTTACGATTGTTATTTTTGGATGAGAAAAAAAAGAAAAATCAACTCCTTTTTTACCTTCCATACTACTTTGCTCATTCGTCCAGATTGCCTGAGGGGTCGAGAGGTGTGGATGTGGATGAATGAGTGTGTAACCCTCTATGGAGGAAATGGTTCATGGCTTTAGATAGATGGAGTATGGACTGCCAAAAGTGATGAAAAATATGTACATAATTGCTCAAATTTGGCTAAATGTATCTTTGAGCACACATGACAGCCCTGATGATGGTAAAAAATCAGGATGTGAAAGTTTAAATCCTTTTGCGGTCGCTTAAATTAAGTATAGATAATGGGGAAGGCACTTAAAGCTTATACCTTCTGCTTTCTTTCTTGAATTATATATGCCTGTAAAAAGAAAAATACATTGTAAAACTGCTCGATTTAAAATGCTACCACTACTGCTACACATTCTGACTGAGCCTTAAAACACGATTTCCCAATGGGACAAAGCAAGATTATATTGTTTAAAAAAATATGTAAGAAATGTCTCCCTTGGAATGAGAAAATAAAGCAGTAGTTCTTGAAAATAGACTAAATGGCTTTGTCTCATTTGAAAATCTTGTTTTAAGACCGACAGAATGTACTCAAGTTAAGATAAAAAAAAATTTTAAAAACTGGATTCAAGCAATTATCACCTCATCTTTTTTCATTATTGTCAGTGTGGTCATGAGATTTGGATAATAACGGAAAGCACAAGATCAGAGTGGCTGAGCGCGCCCTTAGAGATATAGGGTAAGGAGCTCGGAGTAGAGCCGCTGCTTCTCCACGTCGAAAAGGAGCCAGTACAAATCTTGTAAAGTGTAAAAAAAATGAATGGACGGATGGGTGAATACTAAAACATGAAATTACAAAATAAAATAGTCTCATCCTCTATTGGCCAAAAGTAATTATGCATCACATTTATTTCAATTATAGTTTGTGGATATACAGTGTTTTTGGGCCAAATTCTGTAAAAAGCTATAGTTTTCTGTGTGTGTGTGTGTGTTTGTGTGTGTGTGTGTTGGGGGAGAAGCAGCACGGTCCACCCTGGTGTTAGGCCCTGTCCACACGAAGTCAAGCTCAGGCCTAAACGCAAAAATACTTTATCAATCCAGTGTATCGTCCATACGAGGCCGGCGTTTTGGGGGGGTGTAAACGAACATTTTTGTAAGTAGGTCCCAGAGTGGAAAGATTTCAAAACTTTGTATATGCCGCTCCGTGGTTACTGCCTCTCCGCAATGTATCTGAGACGCTTGCGTCATCGCCCCGCCTCTTGTTAAAGCACGCATGCGCCGCACTCAGAAAATAATGACAACAACAATGTAGCTTGTTGGTTTTGTAATCCAGTGTGACCCGAAGCAACAGTTCAACCTCATCGTCCGCCCATACTAATGTAGTACCAGCTCGCCCACTCGCCATGTTGTCTGTTTACAAAATTCTGCGCATGCCCACGGAAGTTTGGGCTTGATCCCGTCATTGCGTCACAGCGCCACCAACAGGTCTGGCATAGTTTCACAGCGTTTTCAGGCGTATTGACTACATTCATATGGACGCACACATTTACTGAGCTAACTCCGTGTTTACAGAAAAAGTTTCTGAAATTATAAGCGTTTTGTCTTCGTGTGGATATAGCCTTAGTCTGCTCCCTCTGCACTGATCGGAGCTGACGTGAGCAGCATTAGAGCGACACACGGAGACAATCCACTCTGAGGAGAAGAACACACATGTGCATTCACAGGAGCTGAGCTGAGAGACGTGTAAACTGTAGCAAATAAATATATATCATTCTTATACCACAACATATTGGTTCAATCTATTGGGTCGTGTGTGTTTAAAATCATCATTCATAATTAACCCTTAGACTCATTTCAATCATTGCTCCAGAACCATGGCTTTTCTAAAATGAACACACAATAAACCTCGACTGTAATTATAAAGAAACATGGCATGATTATGTTCTTTTCGCAACAGTAACAAACTGAAATGTACACATGAGTTTGGATTTTTATTTTATTTGGGTTAATTGCAAGAAATCGGAATGAGACTTCCCGTTCAACGCTGTAGAATGGAGATCTGCCCACCTTCCTAAAAATACATGTTTTAACCCTTTAAGCGCCAGAGATTTTTTTTCCTACAACGCTTGTTAATTTCAAAAGGCTATTCCTAAAATGTGCTACTGATGTTTTCTGTAAATTAGAGAAGTATCAAGGATGGCTCAAAGTTTGTGTAGGGATTAAATTGAATTATTATATGACTTGGACCGTACGCGCGCTCTGATTGGTTGATTTGCGGTCTGATATTTTCCCATCTCGGACCGTTACCATGACAGACCTTGGCCTTTTTGCACATTAAGGCCATATCTGATATTTCTCCGTACAGACCTTGTGCTCGGTTAATAAGCCATTAATATCTAATTAGCGTATTATGACGTCATATGGCGGTGCATGGCAATCATGGATTTTAGAATGTATTTTTAAGAATGTAGTCCGAACATAGATAGTCCGAGGCAGTCCCACTCCCGCAGGTCTCTCCCATAGACAAGTCTCTTCAGAGGAGACCATGTAAGCTAGCTATGATCTTGATTTCTTATTTGATCATTTTGTCACTTTAGTTCCCTCTTCTCTTCCTCACTGTTTTGTCGTTTGGGCTGTTTTGCTGTGTCTGCAGTTACAGAAAGAGGAGTTATAGCCACTTATGCTAACATGCTACTGTGTTTAGCAGCGCTGTAGAGGCTAGAGGACGCAGCCTGTTCTGTGATTGGAGGAGAGCGGACGTCACGCTAAAGTCTCTACTCAGCACTTTTTACGGCCTGAATTCATACATTCAAGCTGAATCAATGAGCTCAAGTTTTCAATTAAATGATTGTAATACAACTTGTATGCAGTAATAAGCATTTTTATGAACACAAAAAAAAAATCAGGTATAGCATCTTTAATTAGCAATTTTTTCCCAAGGTTTTTTCAAGTACACTTTACTTGTCAGGGTTTAGAGTGTGCATCAGAAAGGAACGATTCCAAAAGCCAGTGAGAAAAAGTTGGGAAACCTCTCTCTTTTTCAAAAATACATATACAGTAGACACATATAAACTAGCGGATACACAACGTTTATTACCATCTCTCCTTTGGTCTCGGTCGAGCAAAAAAGAGTCGAGCTGAATTTGAAAAAACATTCACTTTTCAAATTCCAACTCAAACAACTCTATGCTTGAGTATAATCCATGCATACAGCACTTTACGTCTTACTCTCGTCTTGTAGCGCCTGCAGTTTTCTCTAATCAATACTCGCCTTATTGCACTTACGCTGTTTGATGTCTCCTTTTGTATTTTTTCACTGAACAAGCTCCAAACTAAAGCCCTGCCTCAGCACCACCTCCGACAAACTTTATCACCGCTGCCATTTCTCATTTGGCCCAAAGCTCGCATGCCTTTATTGGATGTGGACTCTACTTTCAGCTCACGAGAGAGAGAGAGAGAGAGAGAGAGAGAGAGAGAGAGAGAGATGTCTAATTTATTTAAGCCAGTGGGATGTTGTTGGTTGTAGAAGATGGATTTTACCGTGTGGGAAATGCTAGTAGTGGTGTATGAACAGGAGATAACGTACTTGTTGCTGGTTGTGTGCTCTGCATGTGTTTGAAACGACTTGAAATTTCCTTCCTACACTGAGGGTGCCTCAGTCTTCCACTGAAGGGGCTCCTCAGCTCCTCTACAGTCCTGTGCAGTGGGTGGGAGGTATTGTTCATGATGGAGGTGGCTTTGGCTAGCACCCTCCTGTCCCTCACCTCCTCCACAGAGTCCAGGGAGCAGCCCAGAGTGGAGCTGGCCCTCCTGACCAGCTTGTTCAGTCTGTTTCTGTCCCGCTCTGTGCTGCCCGGGGCCCAACACACGGCAGCGTAGTTTTCATGTGTGTTAACTGTTGATTCTCTGACCTGTGTTGGTGATTTCAATGGTTTTGTTAAGTCTCTGAGATGACTTCTGTTGTGACCTAGGGCTATACAAGAATAAGTTGTATCGTATTGTATTGTATGTACATTGAGCTTGAAATAATACATAAATTAACACCAAACTCAACTCGACTCAAAGTGACCTGCAGAAACGGATGAGGAACAGGTTCTGCACAAAAATGCATTCCATCATTACTTTGTTCTACTAAATAAGACCTTAATCTTAATCTATCTTTACCATGCATTTGAAATGTCACTTGTTCATAATGATTGTGGTAAGATGCTGTTGATGAGTGATGTGTCACTAATGGCTACTTAGCTTTATATATATATATATATATATATATATATATATATATATATATATATAGCAATCACCTTTTTTTTCTCTCATTTTTAATTAAACATACCTAATGTGGCTTGTTGTTATGTTTTGCAGAAAATGCTGGAGACCACTGAGCTGAGCAAAGTCCAGCCTTGACCAGAGAAGAGTCCAAAGCTACAGCGTGGATCCAAACCTGCTACAAAACTATAACAGTATCTACATGGAGGCTCCGTTTAAAGGTCAAAGGAAAAAGATCGCAGACTTTATTATTTAAAATATGTCGGATTCCCTGCATTTTTAGTATAATTTTTCTTCTAAATGTCAAGTCTACAACTGACTCTGAACATTGTAAAGCGCTTTGGGGTGACCTTAGTCTGTAACAATGCGCTATATAAGTAAATACATACTTACTTTCTGACATGTGTAATGACAAAACTGAATGCCCTGCAACAAGTGATGAAAAATAAGTCAGAAATCAAAAAACATTTATACTAATTTGAGCACATTCTGACTGCCAAGAATTGGCCAATGGGGACAAAGCAAAATGATGTTGTTTTTTTTTTTTTAATATACAAGAAATGTCTCTCTTGGAATGAGAAAATAAAGACACAGTTCTTGAAATCAGACTAAATGGCTTTGTCCCATTTGTGAATCTTGTTTTAAGACCGTCAGAATGTACTCCAGCAAATATTATCTCATATTTGATTGTTTTTTGCAGTTTCTTAACTTAATAGTGAGACACGTTTTTTGCTAGTTTAAAGCCTTGTCCAAATATAACATCTCCAAGACAGATTTGTGAATAATCCATACTATTCTTGCGGTGTTCTAGAGAGACTGTATTTAGTATGAATGTACTGTAATCTGCTGGTGATACAGGGATAACTAATAGATACTTCTGTTATGAACGTGGGGTCATTTTGAAATCGCATGAACGGCTGTAGCGCAAACGTATAGAATAGAAACTACAATATTTTATGTCAAAGCATTATTTTAAATCGCGTTCAGTCACTTTGGGTTCTACATCAAAGACTGTATTCATCATGGGACATTATGAGTAGCTTTTTTGGGGGGGAATAATCCAACTGAAGACAAGGTACAGGCAGATTCAGATCAAGAACAAGTATTTATACGTACAAGAATATTAATGACATGTGAAGCGGCTTTGGGTGTCCTGAAAAGCATTGTAAAAAAACCCATACATTATTATTATTATTATTATTATATGGGAAAACACTTATGCAATCTCTCCCCAGTTTGGCGTTTTAAAGTAACTTGCATGACTGTTTTGTGTTAGAAAAACTGCTTTAAAAATGTCATCAAACTCTTAAGTCCAACATATCAATATTTCCAGCCTTTTGTTTTTTTCTTTGTGTTTTTGGGTATGTTTTTGCGTGTACACGATTGGGCAAAACCTTCATTTCCATAGAAGCATTACTGTTATAAACAAGTTAAAGTTGGGGTACCTGACTTTTTTTTTGGCTTTATGAATAACAAGGTTTTTTTTTGCTTCCCAACAGAATGTCTTGTAAAAATACATGTAAGACAGACATATTTTATTTTGCAGAGTCACAATTGAACTCTTCGTGCTGAGAGCTGATTGGCTGAGCACGTTTTTTTCACTTTTCTGTCTAAAGAATCGCAAATCAAGATGTTGAAACACAAAAACGAATGAACAGAACTGGTTTGAGAGCGAGGAACTTTAGTGACATATTTTTTCCATTGTTCATTGTTTTGTGGTTTGAAATGTAGGTACCGCAGCTTTAAGCCACACTCCAGACAAGAAGAAAAGCTAATATTTACAAGTTACTCATTCTCAACCTTGAATATACAACTGACAGTATTACAGCTATAAAATAATTAAGAATGACCTTGTTGAGCTATGTTGTTGCTGTAATGAACAAACTATTGCTATAAAACTAGAATTCCTCTCAGTATTCAACTTGTTTCTGGCGTTTCTTCCCCGTTCTGAGCATGTCATAAACCAGGGTAATCCTTTATATTGTACTCGAGTCACTTTTGAAGTCGCCTGAACCACTCTGGTGCCTTAAATCCAAGCCTGTGTGTTTTTTTTTACTGGACTGTTGCTATCGACACTTGCAGACGTCTTTAATGCATTTTGAACAATAAAAAAAACAGAGAAATGTTTCCTAGAGTTGTGCTTTCATTTAATTGTTTGTTCCAGAATGTAAAAACACGCACACTATATAGAAATTCTGGTCTGTTTTTGCAATCCTCTGGTCAAATTTACCCACCAACAGCGATTCCAAAATACCCTAAATACAACATTTTTGAGCTGAAGTTTGATGATATTTCTACCTTGACAGACCCTGAGTCATTTATACCATTTAGAACCTAATTTAGGTATTTTTCTCCTGCTTTTAGTCATCTGTGGTGGGTAATTTTGACCCGAAGGTAGCACAAGCGTTAAATACTTTTACAGGACATGACATTTGCACTTATAGTTGTAATTAAAAAGCCTCATTTTACTTTGGAACAACGCATCTGTGATCACGAACTGTTATTTAGATCTGGTCTCGTTGGGTTTCATTAGAGATAGATGAAATAAAGGTGCTGGATATTATGTTTCTAATGGAGGTTTTACCACCTGCTGTCGCTATGTCTGGAATGTGCCGCGGTGATAATGTCTTTTAACCTTTCCATCTCCCGGACACTCACAGATGAGGCCACCAGCTCAGGTCTTTTTATATATTCTCATTCACAAACGAGCATGGATCTTTTATATTTGAATAGTTCAAATGCAAAAAACGGATAAATGCCATTAGAATTCACCCTTCACCAAGTGGTTTTAATGCTATACACATAAAGTCTCTCCCCTTCTTGAGCAAATGCTTTCAAATGACAAAACATGAAGATTGAAGCAAGATTTATTAAAAAAAAAAAAAATTGACATATTTTCAAGATCTGTTTTTTGCAAATGACCTCTCCATTTGCTGAACACTGCTCTGGGGATGTCATTTTTACACCAAGTAAATTAAATCCTACAAATCCCACTGTTTGCTATGTCCAGCTTTGTGTTATTTTCTTGGACTTTTGTGTATTATTTAACATGTAGAATACTGGGAAAAACCTTTAATTGAAACATTACTGGTAGTGGGTCCATGAGCACGTGCGCTGACATGCTTGCAATACCACTCTGGGCTGGTGGGGGTGTACCCGGAATAAGAATTACCCAATGCTTTTGTATGGCATCTTCTTTCCGCTCGAAAACGGATGGTGCAAAAGTCACTCTTGGCCTAACGCTACGTTCCAGATGTGTGTCAATGCTGAAGGGAGTATTTCTTTTTTGAACCAGTCTAGTTTAGCCGCTGTGGACTTTTGAACGCACTGGTAAATGAATGGGGCTCATGTCGGCTAATACATGCACAAATGTGTGTTTTTTTTTTTTACATTTTCCTGCCCCGCGGCCATTTTGAAAAAGCTACAGAAGGCAAAATTGGTGACACATTAGGTTCAACGGCGGAGATAGGTGTGACTAAATGTGTTAATATTAACAGTCTATGGTATAAACAAGTTAACCCTTTAGGCGCCAGAGTTTTTTCAAGATAATATACAATTTTGATTTCAAGATTTCAAAAGGCTATAACTTTAAAATGGTTTGAGATAAAGGCATACTGTAAATTAGAAATATCTTCAGTTTGAACCAAACTTTGGGATGGAAGTTGATTCGTCATCTAATTTGCATATCGTGACGTCATCAAGGTGGCGGCCATTTTGGAAAATGTTAATTATTGTATAAAGACTTCAAAAAGCTGTAGCTTGGGAGTTTATTTGAGATCAGGGAATACTATAAACAGTCAATGAGAAATATCTTTAGTATAAAATGAATTTGGGATAGAAATAAATTCCCTGATCCAGATTATAGATAATGTTTTAGCACTGGTTCGCGGCCATATGGAATTGTATTATTTTCAAAGACCTTCAGTGATCAAGACAGCACTCTTTATAGTTTACAGTCATGAAATCTTGAGATTGGTTTCAATATTTCCCTTTCAAAGAAGTAGTGGGCTTACTATTTTTCTCAGTGGAAATGAGGCTCGAGGATTTACCGTTTACAAACAGAGAGATGAAATGAATGGGCTCAGAACATGTCAGATCGTCTCAACAACATACAACAGGCTCTTCAACACTTCTGATCCACTTTTGTGGATTATTTTCTCTCAAGAACTGCCTTCATCCTCATCATCGCTGTTGGTAAAGGCAGTGAACGCGATTAGCGATGTGTTTATTTTTTCCCGCGGCTCTCCCGCGACTTCTCCCGCGTTTCCCGTGTTCCCCGTGGATGTCTACCCCCGCTACTTTCTCCCACATGCCCGGTGTTATGATCCCCCTGTCCCCTCGACCACGGATCCTGCTTGGCGTTCACAGAATGCTTCTACCGCGGCCACACGTGGGCGGCACGGTGGCTGAGTGGATAGCACTCTCGCCTCTCAGCAAGAAGGTCCTGGGTTCGAATCCCGGTCGGACCAGGGCCTTTCTGAGTGGAGTTTGCATGTTCTCCCCGTGTCTGCGTAGGTTTCCTCCGGGTACTCCGGTTTCCCCTACCACTAAAAATATGTCCAATAGTTCTGGCATGCGCCTCCTGTACTGGCGACCCCACTCCCATCTCTGTGTGGAGTGAGAGACAAATGCCCATAATTAACAATTGTAAACCGCTTTGAGACTCAGATCTGCAGTGAAAAGGCGGTATATAAATAAAAAACTTACTAACTTACTTACTTACACGGAGGACAAGCAGCCGCTGTACAGGGGCTGATTGTGGACTATGGAGCGCTGTCTCCCCGTCACTAATAATGTCCGTGTCTGCTTCACTGGACACCTGCGTGTCTTCCTCCTCTGAATCTGAGTGAGCCAGTACCAGACCAAGTACTTCTCTGGTACTGAAGACCTCGTGAGTAAAATAAAAAACACTCTCTCCCTCTGCTCTGCTCTCGCTCCTCTCAGCTCTGCCGCTGCTGCTTCGCCTCCGCGCTGCTGCGCCGCAGGTGTTTTACAAACTCAATTTACTCAAAAACTTTCAATATAACCACACCCACAAATGTTGCTCATATTACAGGCACACATGTCCACTAACCCCTGGTGAAAAGTATTAACAAGATTCTGCACCACATTTTTACATACAGCCTGTTTAAGTGAGC